GGCCAAGGCTGTTATTTCGTGTTGCCTTCCCACAAGGCTCCTCACCACAAAATATGGCTTAGACAGATCTTTTGTTCCTCCAGCTGCACTAGGCTAAGTCTCAGATGATTTCACCAGCACAAGAACTTGCTGCCCTCTACAACTTGAACTTCTCTGACTTCCAAAGAGTAAGTTTTCTTGGTAAGCTGGAATGAACTGAACTGACTGTGTTTTTCAGTAAGGGGTGATTCATGCATGTTCTATAATTTGTAGCCTAAACTGCTTACAGATACCGTTACTAAACTCTGAGTTCGTTGCAGATGGTAGAGAATTGTGCTTTTAAGACTTTCTGTTTTCAGCTCTAAGTATGTGGTTTATCATATGGAGTGTGTCCGACTTGTGTCTCCTGTTATCAAGTTTCCCCTGACATGACTGTTTTAAGTTCTTGGAAATATCTCATGAAGCGTTCGTATCTCAGTGCTCTGAGAAGTGACCTGCAAGACTGGCAGGGCAGTTACAATTCGAGTAAATATCAAATAGACTCACCTATAGCCAAGGTACAAAGAGTTCCCCCTAAATACCCATTCCTTCACAAAACCACTGGGAGATTTTGGTCCCTATTATTTATCCTTCCATCTGGCACGATGGCAGTTCTCTTCACACCATCCACGTGGCAGGTGAATCAACCCCACAAAGGCCTAAGAAAGGGTTTTCCCCAAACTGAGCAGACTTTCCTCGGTTGTTCCTCCTGCTTTCTTAGGACAATTGCGGCAGTGAGAACCAAAAAAACTATTAACTGGAAATTTTGTGACGTAGTAAAAATGCTGAGAGGGTGGAAGTGGAAGGTGAAGCTCAAGTTCTGGACTGAAACTGAAGAAGGGGTCACAGGAATCCAGAGGAAACCAAGAGCGTGGAATGGGAATGGGAGACAGACTGTGTAACCATCTCTTCACAAAACCAGGATGGAGTTACAGGATTTAGAGACAGATTTTACCTATGTAGACATCAACAGGACTGATTAGGAGATAAGATATTCTCCTGATATACTCTGCCTGAAATCCAACACCCAGTGAATTCCTCCTGAAGCACAAATATTGCTGCTCAGCCCACCAAGTGCCCGCACAGTTTGTCAGCACAGAGCACTGACTGTGTCTGCAGTGGGAGGTGCTCCCTGTGGTTCTGCTGGTTGCTCAGATGGGCTCAGCCATCTGATGATGCTGCAGGGATATGGAACCCCTCCCTGGCTTTGCTAAAGAAACACCTACAATGGGGTTCCAAACACCTGACTCCACTCAAAGCTGTTTTTAAGGCTTTCATCAGTCGTGAAATATGACTGCAGGAGCACTCAAATACGAAGTTAAAAATGCAAGTTTGACCATGGCACATGATTCCACCCAGCCATCAGCACACAGAGGCTCTGGGTCACACCACATTACAAGGATATATTAATACCACGAGTTTGTTACTACTTTTTTTTCCTTACAATTCTCTCTCTCCTGTTCAATTCATAGAATACTTCGTGCATTAGACAATCACCACTAGGATTCATAGGAAATTAGCGTTTTTAAGTCCCATCTTCTTTGTTATTGACAGTGTTCAGTAAACAAATATTAAGAGTATCAAGAAAACATTAAGAAACATGGATGTTATTATACAAACCCCTGAGAATACCTGCTTTCCTCTCTCTGCCTCAGGGTTCTCACCCTACACTGAGCAAAGCCTCTAAAAACTTTTCCGTGGTTCCTGTGCTTTGACCTGCAATGTTACATTTTGACTCATTTGCTGCTGTTGAGGTTGAGCAGCCTGACATGACTCACAGCTGCTTATTCTGCCAAATAAGTAAGGGCTCCTCTGACTGCATTAAGTGCTCTGCAGTGTTAGCCTGGCTTTGCAAAATGATTTGTCTTTCACAGCATCAGGGTTTCACCTCAGAAGAGTACTTTGAAGGCCAAGTAGTTCACACCTATAGAAAACGTAAGATTAGAGAAGCACAGGAAGACTATGAAGATGTTTTGTGATGAGCAAACAGTGGTTGAAGTGTATTGGATTTAACTAAGTTATGGGAATGAAAAAAAAAAAATCACAATTTTATCATTATTAACACACAGTACTACGTCAGCCATGTTTTTGGAGAATAATAGAAAAACAACATAAAAATGCCACAGAACATACAAAATCCCCAAAGCCACATAAATTTCTGTTTTATGTAATATACAATATTTCCAAGTAATCTAATTTCAATGTTCTCCCTACAGAAACAATCCTGGGATTACCTCACCTTAGTCAAGGACATATATTTTTAACAAAAATAACACTGTTTATAAACAAAAGCAATAGACTCAAGCCACGGCTTGGATACTTAGTAAGACAAGCAGTTTCTTCACAGGGAGGATAACGCTGGACTACCCAAGATCTTCCACCCCTGAAGATCTTCAGGACAAATTCGAGGCTGATCTAATCTACTGCTGGAGATGGAAACACCTGAGCAGCTGTGGCTGCCCCATCCCTGGGAGTGTTCCAGGCCAGGTTGGACGGGGCTTGGAGCAATCTGGGATGGTGGAAGGTGTCCCTGCCCATGGCAGGGGGGTGAAATGAGCTGGGCTTTAAGGTCCCTTCCACCCTCCAAACACTTGTGTGACATCAACTACACACCAGAGTGAGAATAACAAATGCATTTACAAAAATTTGTCTAATTAAGGTATTAGGTGTAATGTCTATAATTAGGGTATCTATGTCTTCCTAAAGGTCTGAGGAAGAAAGTTACTCAGGAATTCCATCTGCACCCATTTAAAACTGAGTTGTAAGGCTGATGCTTAACCCACTACTCCTCAAGTGTCCAATACAAACCTCAGCTACACCACTTCATAAAAAAACCCTTCTGCAACTCTGCAGTAAATTCAAGTGAGACAGGAATGAAGACTGGGATTTTTTAATACTCCCAATTGGTTTCCTTCAGTACCAGGCACTGGATATGGAGAAAGCTGTTCCTTGTCTGAAGTCAGAACAGAAAACTTCTGTTTACTTCAAGTACAGTGAATTTGTTTATGCTTTTTTTCTTGGAAGGTACAGATCAAAACTTGGGTTTGTTAATAATGGCACTGACAGTGTTGCCAAAGAAATGCACCATTCTACTTACTTCTTTATGTATTGCTGCTTTTTAAAAGTTAAACTTACACGCCATTTACTTTATGACTATCTAAAACTTAATTTTCCTTCTCATCAACAGGTCACAACATATGAATTTCAACATGGGGATTCTGAGCCAGTCAATCTTTCACCTCCTCTGGGCTGCTTTGGTCATTTGTCAGTATGAAGATTATGATTTTGAGGACGAGTATGAGGAGCCAGACCATCAAACTCCGTATTATTTGAACCCGAACGCACAAGCTGAAGTCCCTCCCTTTCCTTTCCCAGTCGAGTGTGCCAGGGAGTGTTTCTGCCCACCAGCCTTCCCCTTGTCCATGTACTGTGACCATCGGAAGCTGAAGGCGATACCGAACATCCCCAGTCACGCCCAACAACTCTACCTGCAGAACAACGACATCGAAGCTGTGCCCGCAGCACCCTTCACCAACGTCACCTTTGTGAGGGAAATCAACCTCAGCTACAACAAAATTAAATTCCATACCATTGACCAGGGAGTTTTTGCCAAACTCTCGAGCTTGGTGCAACTTCATTTGCAACACAACGAATTAGAGGAGTTCCCAGTCCCACTGCCCAGCTCTCTGGAGAGACTCCTCCTTGGCTTCAATAAGATCTCCCGGATACCTGGGGATGCACTGGAAGGATTACCCAACATCACCGTGCTGGACCTCTGCAGTAACTTGCTTGATGACTCGGTGCTCAAAGACAGACCCTTTTCCAACATGAGAAATCTGATGCAGCTCAACTTATGCAACAACAAGTTACAGACTATGCCTCCTGATCTGCCGTCATCGCTGATGCACCTCTCTCTTGAAAATAACTCCATTTCTCACATTCCAGAAAACTACTTCCACAGACTCCCCAGAATCATTGCTCTGAGAATGTCCCACAATAACCTGCAGAACATTCCACACAACACCTTTAACCTGCCCAACCTCCTGGAGCTTAACCTGGGGCACAACAAACTGAAACAAGTATTCTACATTCCAAGAAGTTTGCAGCACCTGTATATTGAAGGCAACGAAATTGAAAGTATGTTGATGGCTAAAATTCTTTAAAAGCAGAAAACTTAGTGGATTTTGGCACTGGCTGTGGGAGGAATGCAGGGAGAACATCATCCCATCTTCTTCAGGATGCATTGTAAACAACATCCTCAGTCATTTGAGACCAAACTGGTGAAATTAGAGAGGATTTGATTTCTCAGTTTACCCCTAATTTACAATTCCTTGTAAAATTGAATACCAGTTTTTCATATAACAAGCTAAAAACTTTTTGAAAATTGCTTCTGATGTGGCAACTGATAAAAATGTACAGAGAAAAGGAATTACAAAAATACTTCATTCACATAAAATACTAATTACAAACTGTAGTGGTAGTAATTTTTTTAACTCCACAACCTTATATTTTGCAAACCCCAGAACTGTCATCACTGCCATTTACAAAACTGATTTAAAACGCAAAGATGACATTACTGCGCACAGCAAAAGTATTTCCCATTTTAAATTTCAAAATGTGAGTTTGAAAACTTGAGACTATCGCAAAAGGTCTTAATTTTCCCACATTTTAATTAAGGTTTTTTTGCTCTCTTGCAGACATAAACGTTACTCTGATGTGCCCAACTCTGGACCCACTGAACATCCACCAGCTGACTTACATCCGCGTGGACCAGAACAAGCTGACGAGCCCCATCAGCAGCTACGCCTTCTTCTGCTTCCCCCTCATCAGAACCATCTACTATGGAGAACAAAATGTGACTGTCAGCAAGCCATCCTCGCTCAGAACTCCAGTGTTCCGGCGGTTCTTGACACCAGAGGAATACCAGGAAGCAGAAGACAATCACGAGACGCACAATCAGGACACCGAGGAAGATCAGGAAGCAGAAGACAACTACTTCCATCCTTACTTTCACTGAAGGAATTGTTAATGAGTGTACAGGGACAGTTTTCCTTAGTTGGGGGTCATTCACAGCCATTCTGGAACAACTGGATAGTCTGGGATGTTGAAGACTCGTTTGTGGAGATCAGATTTTAGTGTAGGGAAATGTCCTCTTATTGGTGGGGTCAAAACCTTAACGGCAGGAACAAAGAGCACTCACCTGAGCATCAGTCAAAGTCTGATACACACTTGGGTTGATGGTGGGAAGAAAACTGCCTAAGCTGAAGAAAACTGACGTGAGAAAGCTTCTGTGTTCTAAAGGGATCCAACTGCAAAATGCCTGAACCACAAATGAATGTCACACTCCATAGGAACAAAGAGTTAAGGGCAAAAATCCTCCCAGCTCTGCATCCTGCTGCTGACAGCAGAGCAAAACAGACACACCAGAGAGCAGCACAGGAGGGTAAGGTCACAGAAATACTTCCACAAGGTTCCTCTCCACCTCCCCCAGAAATACAGATGTTTCTTCATCCAGTTTCTAACTGGACAAGAAAATCAACCTTTGATTTTTCTCAAAGAAAAAAAAAAAATCAAAATCAAACCTTCCCCATACTATGTTTTAAATGCCCTGACAAGGTGTATTACAACATTTACTTCTCTGTCTGTACCTCAACTATCACAATCCTTCAAATGATATTTCAGCTTGTTAGTAACATAGGCAATAC